CTCATGGATCTCCCTCAGAACATAATCAGTGTCCTCATGGTCGATACATTGCAACAGCGGTACAATCTATGTTTGTACAATTTATCATTGATTCACGTGTATCGAGCTACCTTTGTGCGGAGTGTTCTAGCTTCAGTTCTCTTCTTTGGTAGTGTGTCATCCCTTAGGTAAGCAGTGATTGCGTTCATCCAACTGTATCTCTGACTCGTTGCTAAGACTGGTCCATGTGGATAGGAGATGCTTGGTCTTAGGAGGAACTTAACTAGGATAGAATCAGCTTTCTATTGGTTCATTGTAGACGCTAAGCGGGCTAATGCATCTGCTTGTGAGTTCTTCTCTTTTGGGATCTAGAGGACTGTGAAGGACCTGAACTGCTTGAGCTTGGTTTCCACTAGTTGGAGGTAGGACGCATCCTATCTTCCTTCGCCTGGACTTCCCCGATAATTTGGTAGACTATGAGTTGTAAATCAATGTAAATGTTAATGGACTATGCCCCTATTTCTTTGGTGAGGCGGATCCCTGCGAGCAATGTGTCGTATTCAGTCTCGTTGTTGGAGGTGGCAAACCCGAATTTTTCCATGGCTCTGATCGGGTTTCCCTCTAGACTTTCGAGCAAGAGCCCTACTCTTACCCCTTTCTCATTCAAGGAGCCATCCACATACAGAGTCCATTGCCATAAATCTGGCTCACCTTCCGGCTGATAGGAGAATTTTGATATAAAATCTACCAAGGCTTAACCTTTGATTGTTGTTCTCGGGATGTATTTAATATCATACTGACTAATTTCCATTATCCATTGGATCAATCTACCTGGTGTCTTGGGCTTTTGCATTATTTTCTTTAGGGGAAAGTTGGTTAACACGTGAATGGAATGTGCTTGGAAATAAGGCCACAACTTCCGGACAGTGATGACAAGGGCGAAGGTGAGCTTCTCCATTTCAAGGTACCTCGTCTCCACATCGAGTAGCCTCTTGCTTACATAGTATACCAATCATTGAACTCCTTCTTCTTCGTGTACCAATGTCGTGCTGACAGTAGACTTTGATACTGACAAGTATAATAGCAATGGCTCGCCTTGGACGGGCTTTGATAACAAAGAAGGCTGCACCAGATGTTTCTTTAGCTCTTGGAAGTCTCTTTCACACTCCTCTGTCCACTTGAAACCTTTCTTCCCCTTCAAGGTCTCAAAGAATGGTAAACATTTGTCTATGGCTCGGGAAACAAACCTGTTGAGTGCGACCACATACCCCGTCAAGCTTTGTACCTACCTTATGTTGATCAGGCTTTTCATATTGAGCAAAGCCTGAATCTTCTTCGGGTTGGCTTTTACTCCCTGTTGGTTTATAAGGAAGCTCAAAAATCTCCTCGAGCTTACCCCGAAAGCACATTTTAAAGGATTGAGCTTCATTTGGTATCTTCTGAGGATGTTAAACATTTCCCCCAGATGCTCAATGTGACTTTCAACGACCTTTGACTTGACGAGCATGTCGTCGATTTATACCTTCCTGGTCTTGCCAATTTGGTCGGTGAACATCTTGTACACCAAGCGCTGGCAGGTCGCCTCAGCATTCTTGAAGCCAAATGGCATTACCTTGTAACAATAAATTCCATGGTTAGTAATAAAGGAAATATGTTCTTCATCGGTCTGATACATCAGAATTTGGTTATATCCCGAGTACGCATCCATGAAGCTAAGTAGTGTGTTTCTAGTTGTCACATCTACTAGCTGGTCGATCTGTGCTAGCAGAAAGTTGTCTTTTGGACAAACTAATTCAAATATGTGAAGTCGACACAAGTCTGCCACTTGCCATTTGGCTTCTTAACTAGGACTGGGTTGGCAAGCCAATCCGGGTACTTCACTTCCCTAGTGAAGTTGATGTTCAAGAGCTTGTCAACTTCATCCTTGAGCGCTCTGCTCCATCAACCTTCTTTTCTGTCTTACTGGTTGAGCTTTCAGGTCGATGTTCAGCCTATGACACATTATCTAGGGGCTGATCCTTACCATATCTGCATGCACCCATGCGAAAACATTAAGGTTTTTCTTCAAAAACCCCGCCAGGTTGTCGGCCATGTCTTTGCTCAGGCTATTGCCGACTTTTAGTACGTGAGTTGGATCTTCCTCGCTAACACATATCTCTCGCAGCTCTTCCGTTCGTCCTGCTGCGGGCTCCTCTCTATGGATGCGAGGATCAATGGTATCCTCGAGAGGCTTGAGGTTTGGCTTAGATTCTGCAATAACTATTGTTCTTAGGAGCGGCCATTTCTATGCAACATTTATAGCCCGGTTGTAACATTCTCGAGATTCCTTTTTGTAGCTCCTGATCGTTGCGACTCCCCTAGGAGTCGAAAAGCTCATTGCTTGGCAACGCACTGATGTGACTACGCTCAAGTCATCTAAGATCTGTCTTCCGAGGATGACATTGTATGTGGTTGGGCAGTCTACTACTAGGAATTCGGCCATCATCGTCTTGATCTTGGGCTCTACCCCTAAAGTCACAAGGAGGTTGATCATCCCTTTGGGTACCAAGCTGTTGCCGGTAAATCCATAGAGTGGCAAAAGGCATGCCTTCAGGTCTCTCTCTGTGAACCTTATTCCTCGGAAAGCTCCTAAGAAAATGATGTTGGTTGCACTCTCATTATTAACCATTATCCTCAACACTCTAGCATTTCTGATTTTGGCTGCGATCATGATCGCATCATGATTGTGGCGAGACGATTCTTCAAATTCCTCGATTGTGAATCCTACTACTACGCTCTCTTGTCTAGGCCGCTTAGCTGGCTTCTATTCATAGCTCATTATTCAGGGGATTGAGTCTGTTCTGGCCTCACAAGCATATTGTTCGCAGATGCGCCTTCAGCTGTTCGCTATGTCGGGCCCCCTGTAGATCATACCTACTAGGACCTCATTATTGGCGTTCATTGGGGCTTGCTGGATCTAGTTTTAGACCTGATTGTTTTGCTCGCTAGCACCTTCGCAAGTTGGCACCTCCTTGACGAATTCCTTTAGGTGCCCCTTTCGTATCAAGTCTTTGATGACATCTTTCAAAGCCGGACACTCATTGGTGTTAGGTGCCCCATTTTGTCTAGAGCCCCCCTCATCCTTTCTGAAGCAGGCAATCTCTTTGCCTCACGGGAGACTTCATAGATGTGAGTTATGTCTCGCATGAGGGGGGTATATTCTACATATCGCGGGAAGGGTTGCCTATCCCCGCGGATATTTGTTCTCTGTCTTTTTTGGGACTTGTTATGGTCCCTATCATTACGGTCGCCTCTCAAAGCCGATGGCACGGATTGGCCACCTGCTGAATTCATACTTGTTGGGGAGGCATTTGCAAAGTTTGGCTAGTCGAGGTCCTGGGCAGTTGGTTGTTGATTTCTTAGCTCAGCCACATTTTGTTGCACTGCCTATGCAACCATCGTTCTGATCATCTCCACCGGTTGGCCATTTTCAGGGTTTGATGTCTTTGCCCCTTGGTTATTCGTGACGTACTGAGTTGGCGGCATAGGTGGTCGGCTTCCTGTTGCACCTCTTGATGGGTGGTTTCCGGTGGTGGTCTTTGATCTGGTACGCACCATTGCGAGCCTAGATTGAATAGGTTGCTATGGCTATTTGCCGGAAGTTCTAAGATATTGGCGGAGGCCCTCCTTCTAGCGCCAAAATGTTGATACAAAAATTCGCACCAACCAGAGAGATCCGATTGACCTTGGTGGAATCGGAACGGATGTGGGCGTGATCATGGATTATCAGTGATGGGTGAATGATAGATGCAATAAAGTAAATAACAATGAGATTTTTAAAGTGGTTTGGTGAGGTAAACTCTTGAGCCTACGTCCACTGTTCTTGTATTTGCTGTGAAAGCTTACAATAAGAGTTCTATGAAAAATTTCTAACCCATTTTTCTTCATTTGAGGAGGTTTATATACAATATTTGTGCAAAGAAAAGAGCGAAAATAAAGGGATTACAATTGATTTGAACTGCAACTCTGATTTTCTCGCGAGTGGGTGCTGTGATTGCGTAGAGATTTGCTGTTAATCTGATCGTTCCCGTAATATCTGAGATTTGAAGTTATTTGGGAATTGATTGAATGATCATTTGAGTTGTTCGCAACTAGCTTGTGCTAGGTCGAGTTATATGTCGACGAGCTTATGCTAGGTTAGACAACCAATAGAGTCGGACTGATTCTAGGTTGATCTAATACCTCGCAACTCACTGAGCTTGATGGAAAAATCACACATGACAAAAGTGAAGGGTAAAATGGTATTTCAAATAAAACTTTAAATAAATTATTAAATAATATAAAACAATAAATTACCGAATTAAACAGAAAATAAAAGGCTGCACTTCCTATCCCACCCACATCAAACCAATTACCAACAGCCTGAAACCTTTGCCACCTTCACCACCTTCGCCTTCCCAAAAGCCATAACTTCATGGCCGCCCTAGCATTTATTTAAGTTAAATATAACGTGGGTTTGTTTTTAAATGACCATTCTTTGCCTATTTTCAAAATTTGATGTCTTTTTCTGTCACAATCCAACAACAAGTCTTGTTGATATTCCCATTTTCATTCTTTCATTTATCTTTTTATTAACTTGTTGATTAAGTTAAAGTCTTGTTTGAATTAGAATTTAGAGATTATTATAATTAGGTATTTTAAAATGGTTTGGATATTAATAAAAACGAACATATGTTTTATTAATTCTTTTACTCCTAATAAAATGACTAATAGTAAGGAGTAGGCTTTAATTAAAATAGATTTTTGGTGTTATTAAACTATGGATCAACAATTAAAATTAACCTGACTAAGGAGTCTAAAACTGTGATTGCTCTGTATCACCGAACAAAAACATTATATTATAAGGAAGTTTTTAATTGTCACCCTTGAGGCTTAGTGAAAGAACAAGGAGTCCCACAAGTTTTAGAGTGGAACACTTATACCTTGTAATTGAAAGAAGTTTGTAAAAGCAAATAGTTTATTTTTTATTTAATAACATCATGTAGCTTACATAGATTTTATAAACATTATTATTGAAGCATATCCTTAATTAATAATTAAACCTAGGAGATAAATGGGCCTGCAATGGATTCTTCATCACCATTGTAAACTCTTGCTTCTCTTCTAAATCAACTTCATCTCCATCAACAGCCTTCCACTTGAAGCTCCAAACCATATTTGCCACAAAGTACTCTAAATGAAGCATAGCCAAACCAAGCCCTGGACAAATCCTTCTCCCGACCCCAAATGGCATCATCTTTATTTCCCTACTTCCTGTTATATCAAATGACCCCCCTCCACTTTCTTCACAATTTATAAACCTTTCAGGCTTGAAAGCCATTGGATCTTTCCATACTTTAGGATCCCAACCCATTTCAGCTACCATGAAATTAATACTACAATTCTTTGGCACAAAAAACCCACCCAAAACGGCATCTTCAGTCACAGCATGAGGCAGAACAAAGTGTGCTGGAGGGTGACGCCTTAAACCCTCCAAAACCACTGCTTTTAGATAAGGAAGCTTGTGCAAATCATCTTCTTTGACCTCTTCTTCTCTATTTTTCATTATCTCTTTGATCTCCATGAATAGCTTCTCTTGAACATCCGGGTACTTCACCAGATTCGCCATGATCCATTGTAGAGCTGTTGATGTAGTGTCAGTGCCGGCGTTGAGAAACTCAGAGCACAAACTCACCATTTCTCCTTCATCGAGGTTCCTCTTTTCCTCTGGTAGTTGCAGCTCCAGCAAAGTGTCAAAATATGATAAGACATCTTTTGATTCATTTAACTTCTCTTCCTTCGCCCTCTTTTGAGCTCTGATTAAAGGAATTAGTACATCTTCTTGGTATTTTCTCAGCTGGTAGAACTCCTTCAATCTTTTACGGAATATAATTTTCGTAAAAAATGGAAAGAAATTCAATATATCAAACCTTTCATAATTCAGAAGCAATATTCGATGAGCATCCTCGATCTTTTTTATTTCCTTCTCGTCAAGCTTATCTCCGAAGCACATAAGAACTAATAAGCAAAACATTGCATATTGAAAATGATCCAAAACAGGGACTGGATCACCCGATTGGGCCTTGGATTTGAGATATTCAAAGAGAATTTTCAGTACCCATTTGCGTGCATGAGAATAGGATTTCACACGAGAAGGGTGAAGGATTTTTTCAGTGAGATTACGCCGCAAAACGCGCAAAATTGGGCCATAGGAGGCAGTGTTGATAGTATGCTGGTTGCTACTATCAATTTTGTCAACGACAGAGAGAGCCTGGGGACGATCAGAAAAAATTGAACCGTTTTGGATTAGGGCCTGATGAGCCAAGAATCGATCGGCTACAAAGATGGCTGGATAAGAACCGATACGGAGAGTCACCATGGGGCCAAATCTTGTAGTGAGTGATCGGAGAAGTTGCTCGATTTCTGAGAAAGGTTTCTTGAGCAATAGGAAGTTTCCAAGAAGTGGGAAGCTTCGAGGGCCCGGAGGGAGATTTATGGCGGGTTTATTTGTCGGATTTAAAACCTTTGAGATGAATTTGAGGATTACAGGAGAGAGAACGATTGAGATAAGGATAATGAACCAGTTCTCCATTTTGCAAGGGTGGAAATGACAGAGGGTTTAGTGAGGTGGTTTAATTTATAGTGGAAGTGATAGTATAATTTTCTTTCAAGTGTTCTTTATTTGTCACGATTAGTTAGGACATATATAGATTCCAATTATACTCTGATTACTCTCCACATTTCATTATTTATCTTCAGTGGAGGAAGAAAAGTATCCAATAAAATTACAAAAGAAATTCAAACATATTTAATAAATATTAATGTTACCAGAATTGGAATTTTTAAAATAAGATAATTACTTAATATAATGTAAAACTAAACGCTTATCATTTTAAGTTTTTGACCATTTTATTAAGCTAGACCATAAAAGTTTAATTGAAGTCAGCAATGGAAGGACAACCTAAAGCCATTGCACATTTTATCGTCCGACTGTTTCACTGAGGTAAAATATTATCTTTTGTCAGGTTCTTTTCTTGGCCTGCTTTGGGAAGTATGTGTTATGTAACGGAAACATAAACTCTAACGCTAGCTATTGAATATAATAATAACAAGTAGTAAAGCATAAATAAATAGCCAAAATTAAATGCAAAAATAAAGAATACCAGGAATTAACGAGGTTCGGTATTGAAACCTATGTCCTTAGGCACTGCAAAAGAAAACTCCACTATCTCCAAACAATATTACAAACTTTTGAGTAATACAACAAATACCCAAAATAAAGGGGAGATACAACAAAACTTACAAACTAAAGGGTCTTTAAAGAAAGAGCCCTAAACAAAAGAAGTATAATGGAATTACATCTTAGGATGCCTAATAACAATGATTTGGGTCCTTATATATAGGCCCCAAAAGTTTCCCACTTTTCATTCCCAAGAAATGTGGGACAAACTAACATTTTGACCTATTACATAGAAGTCCCTAAACCTTTTTCTATTATCACTTCTACCCCTATGTGATTTGCTAAATGAGCCATTTTTCAACAGTATGAACGGCAATAAATTATAATTACATATCATCCTAATTCAACTTTTGTAGTACCATTTAACGTTGCAACATTTTTTTTTTTTTTAAAGAGTAAACGACTTTTTCCCGCGCAAAGTTTGCCTTAATGATACTTTCTTATAAAAAAAAAGTTTCAAAACATCATTTTTTCACTCAAGTTTATATTTCGTTAATACTTAAAGTCGATTCCTACCAATTCTGACGGCGAAAATTCTCTCCGTCAGTACCATTTAAACCTTCGATTTATTCTCTACAAAACCTCTCTCATTCCGACACCTGATTTATCGCCGATTATTGACCATTATAAAGTTAGAGTTTCCTTCTTTTAGCTAATTTTTCGGTTCATTCTGGTAGTGAATATTCAATTAGTCATCACCATTCGATCCACCGGTCTCTACTCTACGAAACCTCTCACCTCTCTTGCCTTAGCTCTTGATAACTCGTCGAATGTCAGTTAAGAAAGTGGAATGTATTTTAAATACTAACATGAACATAAACTTTGGGTGAGAAAGTGTTGTTAAGGCAAACCTTGGGTGGGAAAAAGTCGTTTACTCTTTTTTAAAAACATAAATCGTGAAGGAACTTACTTAGTTACCTAACTTGAAAACTGTATGGATTAAGAAAAATCCTGTATAGAGAAAAAATTCTTGACTAGAAAAGAGATTTTAGTATGAATTAAATGACTTTAATTGAAAAAAAAAAAATGACAAAACAAAAAGATCTTACAACGAAAAGTTCCATGTGAATATTTTGAACGTCATGCCCCTCACCACCTACCAAGACAAAAGCCATTTGATTTAAATTTTACTCTAGAAGTGTCCAGAACTCAAGAACCGAAAATTTCTCCAACATGAACTATATCCTTTTCTATAAAATAACTCAATTCGCATTTAATTGTTTATGAAATCAAAGTTCAGGGTATTTAACATACATAAGAAATCATTAAAACATTAAAGGTGTCATAAAGGGTTTCAAATTAGCATAAATTTTTATATACTTATGCACTTTTTAATAGAGATTTAATTATAATTAAATTAAAAAATTCAATACAATAATATTATAAGATAACAATAACCATTCTGAAAAGGTAAACCATAAACAAATCAAAGAGGTAAATATCCAGAGTCCAGACGTCCATGAGTTATACCTATTCTGACAATTCAAGACACGAAGATTTTTTAGTAGTAAAATCATCCATTTTTAGTAGTAAAATCATCCATCAAGCAAACAATCGTTAATGAGTTGTTGATCCTGAATGCAATAGTTGATGTTGATTTTGACACCAACTAATCGACACGTGTGCAACGTTGATTGGTCAAGAAACACACGTGAATATGGATAGTAAATATGAAATATGCAATGAGAGCTTTTAAAGTGGTTCGGATGCTAAGGTAGCAAGTCCTACGTCCACTGATTTGTATTAATATGGTGGGTTAGGTCGCTAAAGCGGACTGACTTGCAAATGATTGGAAAAGTAAATACAAAGCTTTTAGAGAGAGAGAGTTCAAATGTTAAAATGGCCGAATCCCCTTAATGAAGGGGTCTTTCTCTTTTTATATCAAGTTGAATGCGTGTAATCATCATTAAATCCTTGGGTTGGTGTGAATGTCAGGACATAATCCGGCTTTACGTCCCGTTGCCTATTTCCCAAGCTGATTTCACACGATTTGGAGCAGGGAAGCGGACACGTGGGAGCTCCAGGGTCCTTGGTAGGCCTGACATGCGCTTACCATTCTGACGGGAGCAGGCCACGTTTCGTCACGTGACTCCACGTCTGCCCTTGATTTCCTAGGCATAACAGAAGTCCCCTAGTTTTTAAGGTTTGAGGATCGAACCTTGGAAACTAAGTCATCCCGCGATTGGAGGTTCTGGTAGTTTCGACCTGAATGGAATAAGCTCGAGACAGGACCTTTTGCGAACACGACCTCATACAATTTTTGCCCAAACGACCTGACTATCATCATTTTAGCGACCTGGATTCGTCGGACGTTTCTTTTCGTGCCTTAGGGTTGGAGATTTAATGAACCTGCCTCCACACTGCCAGGCGCTCTGCACGTGCTGCAGTGTTTGTCAAGCGCATTAAATGCGTTGTGTGCTGACCCGACGTCGTTTTGACAGCTTTAACTGCACGACGCATTTGAAACGACGACCCTCATCACGGCATTTAATGTGACGTGGGGCGCATTTAATGCGGGGAGAGAAGGCTATCGTTTCGGTTTCGAGAGGTAGTAACCGTCGATTCGCAGTCCATATAAAAGCTCACATTTTTCAGATGAGGCCACCAAAATTGCTTCGAGAGACAAGCCTTTGCAAACCGGAAGTTCTTCTTTTCCGATTGGCGCTTCTCAGACATCTGAAACAAGATTCAGCCTTGGTCACGCATCCCAGAAGGTAAGATCCTTTTTCTGCTTCCTCTTTTTTTTTTTTTTTTGTTTGGTTGGTGGGCAACGGCGTTGGGTCTCCTGGTGTTTCACCAGAGACGCGCCGCTGTCGCAGGACTTGAGCCGTGGATGGTGGCTCGAGTTACTGTTAGGGTTTAAGGAATTTGTCCCATACCGCCGCACGGGACAAAATGCAAAGGCTAAAATGACCGTGTCTATCGGTGTTGCAGACTCTGGAATGGAACTGTCAATGTCCAGACCCGAGGAAGGAACCAGCTCGTCCTCGCGGGAAGTTCTCGCGGATGCATCCCTTGACGTCTTCTCTGTTCTCACCTGAGAAGAGCTTGATAGGATTATTAAAAAAATAGTACGACGTCCGCGCAGAGGTGTTCCTCGACAACACCCGGTCATCACGGCATCCTACTGATGGCCTTGCTACGATCTCCGAAGAGATCTTTAAGGATGGAGGGATGATTTCCTTCCATCCTTTCATCAGGTCAGTCCTGGATCACTTCGGGATCGCACCGATGCAGTTGACACCAAACGCGTATGTCATCGCCGTCGCGATGTAAATCGCGTGCTGCGAAAGCGGCTTGGGCGAGCCAACGGCGGTGGAGCTCGGTATCGCCTACTATCTTAAAAAGAGTAGGGACAAGGATTCGTATTACTTGTCCTGATGACCTACCATCGCCGAGGGGATACATAGCTATCCCAGCAACGCGGGGGCCTACGAGACGAAATTCTTCTTTTTTTGCTATGACAGCTACTGCCGCTTTCAAAAACCAAGTAGGTTCTTCTTCGCTAGGTTCATTGTCTGTTTGCTTGCTTGATTATAACGACCTGCCTTCTTTTGCAGTTAATAGAACGACCAGCCAAGACCTGCTTGATGACCCAGACAGGCTCGTGTCATTTGGAGTCCTTCCCGAGGAAAGCCGGGATGCGAGGAAGCTCGTGACAACCGCGAACTTGCGGAAGTATGGTTTAATCAGTAGCAACGCGTCTTTAGAGCCCCTAGAAGGTAAGTTACATTGATTTCTTTCCTGGTCGCGGAATAGTTTTGTTTACTAACGTACTTGCATGCAGAAACTATGCCTCCAAAGGAGTCCGAGCAGCCTCGCCGAGCACCGTTCGTCTTCCCTAGATCGAGGAGAGAGAGAGCGGCCGAAGCCACTCGTTCCATTCCAGCACAACCGGTGCGAACAACCGTGCCTTTCTAGCCCCAACCTGCGCAAGAAGCAACCAGGGTAGGATAGGTCGCTCAGGCACCACCTGCTCGCCCAAAGCAGAAGGCTCCGACCCAGAGAAAGAAGAGGAAGCAGATTCAGGTCGACGAGTCAGAGACCGAATCTTAGGATGAACCCTTGAGGTCGCGACAAGACTCAAGGAGGTCCGGAAAGGAACCCGTGAGCGAGGCGGTCGCTGCCGACAAGGCAAAGGACGCACCAGTGCTGGACTCATTGGGGAGCTTGCCCGAATACCTGCAGCCGATAGTCTATTCTCTGCTCGAGTGTGGACTATCGGAATCGTATGATGAGTTCGCTGCGACGACCTGATGACCACGTCGTTCCAGCATCTAAGCAAGGTAAACGAGCTGCTCTTAAAATTTCCATTCTAATTCATTTCTAATTATTTCTTGCTCGCAGGCTTTACTTGCGATGAGGATGTCTATGGAGAAGACTCGGCTGGGGGCCGCGAAGGGGGCAAGCTACCTAAAGGAGGAGGTCGCG